TCGATCTCTCTATCTCTCTATCTCTCTATCTCTCTATCTCTCTCTCTCTCCCTCCCTCCCTCCCCACCCCATCCCTCCCTCCCTCCCTCCCTCCCTTCAGTCAACAGGCATTGCAGGAGCTCTGGACCAAGTGGGGGTTTGAGGACTGTTCGTACCTGCGAGCCTTCAGCTTCGACGAGTTCTTCTCCAAGCACCAGTCTCAAGTCTTCTTCAGAGATTTTTTTGCTTCAAAGACGGTAGAAAAACACCAACTTTTTGTCCTGTCCTGTCCTCTGTCCTGTCCTCTGTCCTGTCCTGTCCTCTGTCCTCTGTCCTGTCCTGTCCTCTGTCCTGTCCTGTCCTGTCCTGTCCTGTCCTCTTTCCTGTCCTGTCCTGTCCTGTCAACTCATCACATCTCGTGTGAAGGTGCAAAGCTCTCTCAGCGTTTCCTCCGGCAGAGACTCGTGGAGAAGAGTTGGGCCGGTCAGGAGGGTCGAGGTGGAGGAGCTGGCCAGCAGTGTGACCAACATGGAGTTCTTTGACAAGCTGATGCAGATTGGTGAGAGACCGAGGGGAGGGGAGGGGAGGGGAGGGGAGGGGAGACGAGGGGAGGGGAGGGGAGACGAGGGGAGGGGAGAGGAGAGGAGACGAGCGAAGGAAGAAGGAGATGAGAGGGAAGAAAGAGCTGTGAAGGTGAGGAGGTGGCAGGGCGGGAGGAAGGGAGCATGAGTTTTTGATTTTTTCAGTGCTCTCATAGTTTAGTAGTGCTAGCTGATGCTATCAGATCTTTCGTGACTTCTTCTTGCACAGAGGACCCTCCTGTTGTGCGGGAGAACGGAGCTCTTGTGAAATGTTTCGACGAGTTTGTCGACGACCTTGTTCTCTCCGACGAGCTACACAAGCTGCTGGTACAGGAAGAGAGTGACCACTACGAGGTTGATCCTCCTTCCCCTTGTCCTCGTCTTCCTCTTCGTCGTCCTCTCGTACAGGGTTGAGAAGCGTTCGCAGGAGTTCTCAGAAGAAGAGAGGAAGGAGCTGATCTTCCATATCTTCAAGGCACTAGTGGTTGGAGGAGGAACGTGTCAGTTCGAAGACAGCATTGACGCGTACATGGATGTTACCAAGGACATGTACAAAGATCTGGTAGGAGAGACGGGCGGAGGGTAGGATAGAGCAAGTACGGGAAGGACGAGGACGGGGGGCAGAGGGAATGAGGAAGTGGAGAGCTGCAACACAAGGAGGAGGAGGAGGAGGAGGAGGAGGAGGAGGAGGAGGAGGAGGAGGAGGAGGAGGAGGAGGAGGAGATTTATCTTTCGACTTCTTGCCTGACAACATGGAAGGTAAAAGTTTCGAAGAGTCAGACGCACAAGCTGCAAGTGACTTCCATCCCCTATCTTGTTGTCTTTCCCCTCCTCCTCCGTTGTATGACTATCCTGCAGATCACAAAAGTCGACGCAGACTTCGAGCTCTTCCCCTCGGTAACACCATCACTACCAACAGTACATCATCATGTTCAACAACAACATCAACCACAACCACAACTATATCATCATCATCATCATCATGATCATCATCATCAACCAATATCATAACCACAACCACAGCCAACATCCTCGTCGTCATCGTAATCATCAAACAAGGACGACAACACCCTCATCATCGTCATGGTCTTTCGTAGCATCATACATTGACATTTAATGCAGCACGCCAATCCTTCCTTCTCCTTCTTCCTTGCCATCGTCGAACCGCTGCAGCGCAAGATCTTCGTCTGGTATAAAGCGCATTTCCCGCCCTTCTAAGGAGATTACATGTTTAATTCAGTTGTAAATATTAGAAATGGGGGAGGGTAGAGAAACAATAATTAGAGACTGAGAGAGGAAAGAATAATTGAACACGCTGTGGACCGTTACTTGGTCATCCGTTCCACGTCTTCGATGAACTGCAAGCAAACATTATGGGCGGGAAGACTAGAAAGTGTAGAAAAGAGCGAGGACGCAAAGTGGAGTAAATGCCGAAAAAAGGTGGGGAGGAGGAGGAGGAGGAGGAGGAGGAGGAGGAGAAAGAGGAGGAGGAGGAGGAGGAGGATCCATCTTACCGCAAAGAATTCTTGCTTGTTGATGCTCTTGCTTCCATCGAGGTCGATGAGCTCGAAGAAGGACACCACGTCGTCCATGTCCCAGTTCTTCCCGATCGACTCGAATGTCTCGATCATCTCATCCAGCGATATCTCTCCCTTCCCGTCCTTGTCGAACATGGCGAACAGCTCCTCTCCTACCTCGGTCAGCTTGATGTTTTTGTTGGTCATCTGCCTCTTCGACAGCATCACTGACGCCAGCTCGTCCAGCGAGATCTCTCCCGACCCATCCTTGTCCATCAGCTTCACCAGCTTCTCCAGCTCCTCCGGCATCAGGTTCGTTCCCATCGTTCCCAGCAACTCTCCCACCTCCGCCGTCGACAACTCCCCGCTGCCGTCTTGGTCGAAGTGGTTAAAGAGCTCCTCAAGCTCCGCCAGTGCCTTCTGCTCCTCCTCGTTGGATGGCACGAACATCTGCCCAGTGTACGTCCCCGGGCTCTGCGACACTCCCTTCTCTGCCTCCTCCGCCTGCTGCTTCAGCCACTTTGCCTGCTGCATGTAGAAGTGGAGCATGAAGAGCATGTCGATAGCCTTCTGGCACCTGGCATACTTCTGCTCCCTCACGATCTTCTCGATCATCTCCTTGTCCGCGAACATCTCGATGGAGAAGCACATGGTGAAGATCTTGGCGCTGACGTAGTTGATCGGGATCGCAATGATGTGAATCAGCACCAAGGTGGCGAACATCAGGTGCCCAAAGATCCTGTACCCCGTCAGGTCCTCTCCGCTCTTGACGATCCCTGGCATATGATGGGACAACAACATCGCAAGGGAGATGATGGTCCAGAACATGCATAACCGGATGGCGTGGGAAGTGATTTCCGGCCCCTTGGCCACACCCCAGAACAGCCTCTCATGCTTGTTGGGTGGTCGCTGGTGGACTATCGCCTTGACGAGAGTGACCAGTGTTGATGGGACGTACTTGAGAAGGAAGGAGAGGGAGAACTCCTTGCTCTTCTTGAAGGTGCTCTGATCCAGCATGACTGGTGCAATCACCAGTTTCTTCGAAAACTTTGCAGAGCTCTGCATCTCGCTGGGGAGGCGGGGGATCAGTTGCTGCCGGATCCAGACCATCTTGCACTGCAAGAGGAGGCACAGGGCGACGATGATAAAGAGCAGGAACCAGTAGAACACCAGCAGGTTGTTCGACGTGATCCCCTCCTCCACCACTCCGAAGAAGATGACCAGGAGCAGCCAGGTGCATAGCCAGTCCACAGGGGAGATCTTGATCATCTTAGAGAACTGCTCAGCAACCCTCCTCTGAAGGTACTCATGGAAGTCGAAGTCAGGCTCAAGCTCAGGCTCCTTCGCCTCGATGATGAACCTTGTCCGGATCCTCAAGTACTCCGCCCTCTGCACGTCGAGGGGCTTCTTCCACTCGGCCATGAGCGAGGCGCCATGGTTCGCATCGTTCGGCTCGATGTCCAGAAGTGAGTTTTCCTCGAACACTTTGCTGCCCAGGGTCTCAAAGTCTGCCCACTGCTTGTTGCTGGTCAGCTGGAAGGACCACAGACCTCCGATGGTGCTCAGGATGAAGGACAGCGAGATGAAGAACACCAGGTAGTGCAGGCCCTCGAACAGCTCCTGGAGCGCACTGGGCTCGTGCAAGGAGTAGACGGAGGCGATGCCCAGCAGGCTCTCCTCCCCCTCCACAGGGACGGTGAACAAGAAGAAGAGGAAGCCCAAGAACCCAAGGGTGGTCAGCTCCTCCAGTAGGGCGTCCACCACCTCCTGCAAGAGCTCCGGTACCCTCTCGCGAATAAAGTCCACCGCATACTCGAACAGGACAGAGAAGGAGATGATCAGCGTAACGAAAGCGAAACCCCACCGCAACTTGACTTCGATCTCCCTCTCTTCGTCCAGCTCGCTCTCTCCCTCCTCCTCCTCCCGTTCCTTCTTCTCTTTCGTCGTCCCACCCTCTGCCCCCTCCTCAGTGGCTCCTTCCGAAGACTCTTCCTGCAGAGTTTGCGGCAGGGCGTTCTTTCCGGAGATGCCAGAAGGAGATGAAGCTTCAGATAGCTTGCCAGCTTTCGGAGGGGGCTCATACATATTCCGACCTGATAGCACCGTATGGAAGAGTTTCGTAGTAGACCGCGACACCTGCCTCTCGTGCTTGGGGCCCACAAAGAGTGTGATCGCCAATATCCCCAACATAATGCTTGAGGCCACCATGGCGGATCGTGCGAGTCTCGCCGACCTGGTCGAGGAACCGCGTCGAATGTAGGAGGTCACATGATGCGGCAGCGGTTCGTTCCTGAGGTCAGCGCTGCGAAGCATGGGTACAGCCTGGTCGTTGGAGCCGTAGGACGACACAGAAACAGGCACGTCCTCTCCAAGAACCGAATTCAATCCCCGACCTCCTCCTCCTCCTCCTCCTCCTCCTCCTCCTCCTCTTCCTCCTCCACCTTCACCGCTTCCACCCGCGGCTCCCTTCTTGCCCATGCCGCCCTGCGATCTATTTCTGGCGACAACACTCAGCCCTACCCCTACCCTCCACGTACTTTTTAGTCCTCTCTGATTGGGTGGGTGTGATGAATCTCAAGTCCGCCTCACTGGGTTTGGGCCCCGGGCGGGCCGCGGCCCCGCGCCGGGAGCCTCAGTCACTGAGCCGGAAACGGATCCGATGATGGCGCGGCTGATTTTTCAAGTTCAACTGCGGGGACTTCCTCCAGTACGGCTGTTCTGACGCTAGGAGCTCAGGACAGGATGGCGACCTGACGGAGCACAAGTTTGTCACAGTGTTAGACTTGTGCACTTTTTGCTCAAGACCGAGCCAGTTTAATGCACACGAAACGAGAATTGAGGAGCACATGAGATATAGACTGTATGCTAGGATGTGAAACCCACTGAGCATCCAGACATGAGAGGACCTTAACAAGGCCGGGCTAGGAAGGCCCCTCTTCGTCCCACCGTCACTACATGGCCGCCTCGAAAAATCGTGATTTACACCGGGAGAGTTTTGTTAACTCGGTGCTATCTGACTGGCACGGCTGGCATGCGATCCGTCACGACCAGAGGAATCATCGAGTCTACTGAACCTGCCACTAGCAGAACGCACTGAGGCTAGCAGCTGAGCACCGCGGCCCGGCCTTCAACTTAGTCATCTTTCAACAAAATGATGATCATCATGTATTAATCATACTACATAACCGTATATCCAACCGCCGTCTACGCCAACTCGGCCTGAGTCCCCATGGAATGTTGCAGACTATCATAGTATGACCCGGATGTGAATTGTCCGGGGTCCGGGATGCGGGCTCCGACCGCCGGGGCCTTCAGAACTGGAAGTTCCTAGGAGCGGCCACCGTCGAGCATTCAATCACCTGAGAGCAAGAGGCAGGAGGGTCAGTAAAGCTCACCATCACTCCAGCAGCGGGCCGTACCATCATCACCAGTGACTCGTCAAGTATCCGGATGCAGCAGTCGGGGTCGGCTCCTAACCTGGGATGCAACCCCATGCACAGGGCGACCTGCATGGCATCTCTCAGCAGGCCCCCAGCAGGACGAATCTCCTCACCTGGAACTCCGTGGGGATGGTGACGTAAGCGCTGGTGTTCCTCATGATCTGGTCCAGCAGCTCCTCCACCTTCTTGGATATTGTGTTGCCCAGCAGGTCCAGGGTGTGGATAGTGCTGTTGGCCGCGAGCGCCTCTGCGATCTTCATGGCCCCGGCATCCGGGATGTCGTTGTCTGCAATTAGGAGAGTGTGGAGTGTCGTATTTACATTGATGGCCTGTGCAATGGACATGGCACCGGTCTCCTTAATCTTGTTGTAAGACAGATGGAGCTCCCTCAGAGTGTTGTTGATGTGCAAGCAATCGTTGAGCCCGGTCGCCCCTGTCTCTTCCACGTTGTTCCTCGTCAGGTCCAGCTTCGTGAGCGAGCGGTTGATTTTCAGCGCCTCTGCTAGCTCCCATGCCCCAATGTCGTTGATTTTGTTCCTTGCAAGCTTCAGGGTCTGGAGCGAGCAGTTGATCTTGACGGACTCTGCCAGCTCCTTGATGTTGTTCACTCCTATCTCGTTCCCATCGAGGTCGAGGAACTCCAAGAATTTGTTGGTCTGGAGCGCCTTGGCGATCTGCTTCGGCCCTTCCTCCTTCAGCACGTTGCCGTGCAGGTGCAGCACCTTGAGAGTTGTGTTTTGCGTCAGGGCACGCGCGATGTGCGACGCTCCCTCCTTCCCGATCCCGTTGGCCCCCATGTCCAGGGTTGTCAGTGTTGTGTTCTCGCAGAGAGCGTCTGCCAGTGCCTTAGCCCCATGTTCTACAATACAGTTCCAAGCAAGATAGAGCTCCTGTAGACTCTTGTTCACATGCAACGCGGCCGCAACCTCTTGCGCTCCAGGACCTGCGATGCCGTTCCCCGACAGGTGCAAGGCTGTGATCGAGTTGTTTACCCGCAGCGCCTTGGCGAGCTCTGTAGCTCCTACGCTGCTGACCCGGTTGTCCGCGATGTCAAACAGCCTGAGAGTGCTGTTCTCTGAAAGCACTTTCGCAAGCTCATGGGCTCCGCCATCATTGATAGTGTTCCACGACATGCGCAGCTGCTGCAAGCTCGTGTTGGTCAGCAGCATGCGCGCGATCTCCGTCGCACCCTCGTTTGCAATGTTGTTTCTGCTGATGTTCATCGACGTCACCACCGAGTTGTTTTGAAGAGCCTTGGCAAGTGCCATGGCGCCGGTCGCTTTGATGTCGTTGTCCGACAAGTCGAGGAACCTCAGTGTGCTGTTCATCGTCAGAGTGACGCCCATATCCTTCCCGAACTCGTCCCCAGCATTGTTGTTGTCCAGATACAGTGAATGGATGGAGTTGTTGTTGCGCAGGGCAAGCGCAATCATCCTACAACCAGCATCTTCGATCCTGTTGCAGCTCAGGTGCAGGATGTGCAGGTTGCTGTTAGTTTCGATCGCTTTGCTGAGCTCCTCGGCGCCAGCAGTCTTGATAGAGTTATCTGTCCAATACAACATCAGCTAAGAACAGATTCCAGACCTCTCATGCTGGGACTTCACCGTCCAACGAAAGAGAGCGGAGGCTGTTGGTGACCCGGAGGAACTGTCGGCAGCTGTCAGCTGCAGCAGCAACACAGCTGGGTCAAACTTCAAACCTGTGAGATTTGAGTGGCGCCATACTCATTCAGCCCATTGCTCGACAGATCAACGTAGCGCACGTGAGGGTTGGACTGGATCGCGGTAGCGACTTGCGCTATCCCCGTCTTCCCGATGAGACAACCTGCCTTGAGCAGTCAGGGAAGTCTGCATGCCAACCTCTGGCTGGTTCGCACCTGGCATCTTCACTTCCGACAGATGTTCGCCACAGTTCAAGCGCGAGACCATCTCGTTGACCATCTCGTGTTTGGCGCACATCTCCCATCCACCCACAATCACAGACCTGCACTAGTCTCAGGAGGAGGGAGCCGCGCGAAGGGTAAAATTCCAATGCTATGGGTTTCTCATCAATGCAACTCATTCATTCATTGCCAACTCCTCAAGTTCGTCGCTTCCTAAGGGACTGAAACTCCCTCTCTCCTCGTTTTCATGTTGCCCCGGCAATGTCGCCTTTACCGAGGCCTCTTGCTACAACTCTCCCCGCCATCCCGGCCTAATTCAAGTGTCCCAGTCCCTCTCCTCCATCTCCTCCTTTAGCTCTGCCTCTCCGCTATCTGTCTGGCCCATTCAACCTTGTGCACTTATCAATTCCTTTCATTTTTTCTTCCTTTCCTATATTTCAGGTCTACTCCCACACTTCCCTTTCCTCCTCCCCCCCCCCATCACCTTCCTGCATCCCTTTGCATCTCCTCTCTCCCCTCCTTCGTCTCTGCCTCTGCGCTCTCCCACCGCCTGCCATACTTTGGCGAACAAGAAACAAACATGGGAGGACATCGGGCAAAGGAATGTGGAGTGGTGGGGGTACTATGACAACCGGTACTATCATGTACATTTTCATTAGCTAGTACCCGGTGTCTACCCAAAAATACGTGTAGGGTAGGATAGTGTCAATTGTTTGGACAAATTTGAAGCTCAATTCAATGGGAGGTAGGGGTATAAGAAGCACCCCCATAATCTAGTCTATTTGACTCAAATATGGTGGGAAAGTGTAGGTGGGGTGATCTATCAAGAGGGTGGAGGTTACCATGTTTGGTTCATTGGCTGAAGACACTCCTGAAATTTTACCAATTCAGCTAAATCATTTATTACCCTACCCTACTTCATCCCATCCTGAGTTTCGAAATACCCCCAATTTCTACCATATATCGCTGATATGGAAGGGGTGGGTGATACTACCTCACCCCTTCTTCCTATTCCCTTCCCCCGGACCCTGCCACTGCAGCGCAATGCGCGCACATGCTATCCCGTACTCGCTGTCGCCGCCCATGGCGATCAAGTCTTACCACCTCACTTATGAGCAGGATCACACGATGAGAGTCTCGGTCCCTCCCTCCCTGCTCCTCCTCTCCCTCTGTCTCCCTCGGATCGGAGAACTTGTTTTTTATCCCTTCCCCTCGTTCACATCACATTGTTGAGTTGTGTTTATTCTCTAGTCTCAGTCTCAGCGCGTGAACAGCGATATTGTTCTTCCTCACTATGCGATTATTTCAATCTAGAAATGTGTTCCAGGGATTGACCTCAACTCACCATGGCTACCTGCCGCTCAGCCATTACCATCCTCGTTCTTTATTCTGCAATGCTCATTTGGTTCACTCGCTAGTTCTCCAGTGTCTCCTCTCTCTGCTTGTCCCATGCTTGATATCTTGAGATCTCGTTAAAATCTTCTCATGGCTGAATGCGTTGTTGCTGTTATGATTGACCTCAGGCGGCAGGAGGAGTCCTGTTCTACGACCGTGGTCATGGAAAAGCTCCAGTACCTGTCCTTGGTTTCCAAGGTGACGACAGAGGGACTTGGAGGCAGGAGTATGCGCTCGCTGACGACTTGCACAGGTCTGTACTGAGCTCGAGAATCATGTCGGGGTGGGGGACAAGACACTGGCGGAGTTCATCATCAACCTGGCGGAGGAGAACAGCGACCTGCAGAAGTTCCAGAGGGCGTTGGAGGAGAATGGAGCTGAGTTCCCGGACTCGTTTGTTTCGAGTCTCTACTCCCTCATACTGCGCATGAAGCCCAAGAAGAAGGTGACTACGACGAGCACCAATGGAAGTACGGGGGACACCTCGGCCAAACAGGAAAAGTTTCCCGGCCTCGCGATCCCTGACACAGCACCAGTCCGCTTTTCGCCGTCTCCCCCGAAAGAGCGACCCGACAAGGCAAAGAACGAGGACAAGGAGCGAACGAGGGAACGCTCGCGGTCGCGGTCGCGGTCGCGGGGAAGGGATAGTTACAAGAGAAGAGATTCTAGAGACTACGATGATAGATACCGTGATGATAGGTATGATAGGGACGGACGAAGAGGAAATCCTCCTCCGCCTCGACCGTCAGAACCACAGATATATGCTGTTTACCGGGGGCGAGTGTCAAACACGATGGACTTTGGTGTTTTTGTACAGTTAGATCAGTTCGGGCGCAAGGAAGGACTCCTACATATCTCGCAGATCGCAGGGAAAGGCCGTATCATCAGCGGGAAGGACGCCTTCAGACGTGGCGATGCGGTGAGAAACTTTGTGTTCCTTTCTGCGTTGAGCACCCTGACGTCGACAACCAGGTGTGGGTCAAGGTCCTGTCCATGACGGACAACAAGATGTCGCTGACCATGAGGGACGTCGATCAAACCACTGGGCGAGATCTCGCTCCGATGACCTCCATGACGCAGAACCAGAGGTCCAATCCTTCCAAGCCGATCGAAGAGAACGTGTCTGGTGTACCCATTCACGCTGAGGACCGCGATGCTGGCCCGAGGAGGGTGACCAAGAGGCTGGCGTCCCCGGATCTGTGGGAGGCGCAACAGCTGATTGCTTCCGGCGTGCTCAGCGTGGAGGAGTACCCGACGTACGATGAAGAGACGGGGCTGCTGGCGCATGGGAAGGAGGAGGAAGGGGAAGAGCTCGAGATTGAGTTGAACGATGACGAGCCAGAGTTCTTGAAGGGGCAAACGAGGATGAGTCTGAACCTCTCCCCAATCAAGGTCGTCAAGAACCCTGATGGTTCCCTTCAGAGAGCTGCCTTGACGCAGTCAGCCCTCGCTAAGGAGAGGAGAGAGCTTCGTGAGCAGCAGCAGCGAGCGCTCATGGAGTCAGCTCCAAAAGATCTCGGGAGGACCTGGGCTGACCCTCTCGCAGCCCCGGGAGAACGAATGCTTTCCCAGGAGTTGGCAGGTATTGGTGCTGCTCCTCCAGAGATTGAGGAGTGGAGATCGCAGACGATGGGAGGAGGAGGAACGTCAACGGGGTACAGGCAGACCAACCAGACGATCAAGCAGCAGCGGGAGTCACTTCCCATCTTCCACTTCCGCGATGCGTTCTTGCAGTCAATGAAGGACCACCAGATCCTGATTGTCATTGGAGAGACCGGGTCAGGAAAGACGACACAGATGCCGCAATATCTGGCAGAAGCTGGTTATACCACCAGGGGGAAGATTGGCATCACACAGCCTCGTCGTGTTGCAGCCATGTCAGTCTCCAAGCGCGTGGCCGAGGAGTTCGGGTGCAGGTTGGGCCAGGAGGTCGGCTACACCATCCGTTTCGAAGATTGCACGTCCCCTGAGACCGTGATCAAGTACATGACAGACGGTATGCTCCTCCGTGAGTGCTTGATCGATACGGAGGTGTCGGGCTACAGCGTGATTATGCTGGACGAGGCGCACGAACGGACGATTCATACCGACGTGCTCTTCTCTTTAATGAAAAAGGCTGCGATGAAGAGGCCGTCGCTCAAGCTCATCGTCACGTCAGCCACCATGGAGGCCGAGAAGTACTCCGAGTACTTCAATAAGTGCCCCGTCTTCACGGTCCCTGGTCGAACCTTCCCCGTCGAGGTCCTGTACACCAAGGCCCCCGAGTCTGACTACCTTGACGCTGCCCTTATCACTGTCATGCAAATTCACCTTGCAGAACCTCCAGGTGACATTCTGCTCTTCCTCACGGGTCAGGAGGAGATTGACACGGCCTGCCAAATTCTCTTCGAGCGCATGAAGTCCCTGGGAAAGCTCGCCCCCAAGCTCAACATCTTCCCCGTCTACTCGACGCTCCCCAGTGAGATGCAGACAAGAATCTTCGATCCCACCCCCATCGGAGAGCGCAAGGTCATCGTTGCCACCAACATCGCCGAGGCCTCTCTCACCATAGACGGCATCTTCTACGTTGTTGATCCCGGCTTCGCCAAGCAGAAAGTCTTCAACCCCAAGACTGGAGTCGACGCCCTCGTCGTCGCCCCCATCTCACAGGCCTCGGCAAAGCAGAGGGCAGGGCGAGCAGGCAGGACGGGGCCGGGAAAGTGCTACCGTCTCTACACTGAGAACGCGTTCAAGTCAGAGATGATGCCGATGTCTGTCCCTGAGATCCAGCGAGCCAACCTCGGCAATACCGTCCTACAGCTCAAGGTAACCCTTCGACTCCTTGCTCTGACTATCGGCTCTCCCTTGCTTGCTGCTCGCACAGTCCTCTCTGTGTTGCTTCTGACCCTCCTCTTGACTGTTTTTGAGTTTTCCCCTCCCCCTCCCGCGAGTCCCTGATGGCTGTCTTGCATTTCGCCCTGCTTTCTCAATCTTGCGGCGGGGTTTGATCAGTTTGACAGGCAATGGGTATTAACGACATCATACACTTCGACTTCATGGATCCTCCTCCTATCCAGACCCTCGTCCACGCTATGGAGACTCTATACGCCCTTGGAGCCTTAGACGAGGAAGGGCTGCTGACCCGCCTTGGAAGGAGGATGGCGGAGTTTCCCCTGGATCCAACGCTGTCCAAGGTGACCGTTAGTGCTTTTCTTTCCTCTTGCAACTCACTCGCCCCCCCTGCAGATCCTCCTCGCAGCCGTCGACCTCTCCTGCGCCGAGGAGATCCTGACCATTGTCGCCATGCTCTCGGTGGAGACGCTCTTCTACCGCCCCAAGGACAAGGCGGCGGAGGCAGACCAGAAGAAGTCCAAGTTCTACTGCCCGGAAGGAGATCACCTGATGCTACTCAATGTCTACGAGGCCTGGAAGAGAAACAAGTTCAGTAACCCCTGGTGCTACGAAAACTTCCTGCACGCTCGCTCCCTTCGTCGAGCTCAGGACGTGCGCAAGCAGATCCTGCAGATCATGGATCGTCACAAGCTCGACATCGTCAGCGCTGGCAAGAACTGGAACAAAGTCCGTAAAGCCATCGTCAGCGGCTTCTTCCATCATGCAGCCAAGAAGGATCCGCAGGAGGTATCCTTTCCTCCTCCTCCTCCTCCTCCTCCCCCTTCCCCCTTCCCCTTCCCCACTCCTCCACTCGTTTTCTCGTGTCTCTGCTCGTGTGCACGATGACAACCATGACGGTGAGC